CAGTAAACATGGTGTGCAGACTGAGAAGCTACCTCATTTTCGAGCTCACCTAACCTTTGATTATAGAGAAAACAAACACCCCCAGTGATGCGTTTAAGTTCCTTCAAAACGTAAATCATCCATCTGTATAACTCCAAATGAACGTGTGTAAGACCATCTGTCTTCAGTAACATGCTGTTACATTTTGTTAATCATCCAATTTAAGGACTTCATTAAGAACAAAAGTTCAAGATAAACCAGGGATTTAAAAAAAGAACATCAGTTTTAAAACAACCTTTTATAAATAAATCAAAGCGTTTTTACAGGCATTACTTACTCTTTGTTCGACAGTAACTAAAATCACTGGTTCAAGTGTCTAAAAATGAAGGTGTAGGCCTGCTATAAAAAAGAAAACAGAAAACAATATTTATATTCAATTCTGCAGATGTGTGGTTTAAATAACTGTTGCGGTCGCATGTACCACAATCGTTGAAGCAATTCTTAAGATATTGTGCTGTTTTTAATGGCTTTAATGTCTCTTAGCACTTGTCACCCAAACCATATTGACTCTTCATTGCAGATTCTAGCCTACCCCTGTTTACCTCACGGACAAATTATAAACTGGAAGTCCGAAATGGTGTCTGAGGGGGATAACACATCGATGCTCTCATAGTTCATGCTACAGCAAAACATTTGTTAGGGATTTAAAGTTGCTGCTTGTGTCACAGGATCACGGCTACCCTTAAGGGAAGGCTGTGGCTCCATAGAGAAAATGATTATTTTCTGTGACAACACATTACCCAGACTGAAGTAAGAGTGGCACGTCGCAAGCCACAATAACAAAGTACAATTTGCAACTCAAAAGTTCAAGGATGGACTTTCTTGTCAGGGATAACAGGAAGATGTTAGCACTGTCAGCTGGTTTGTCTGCAGTTGGCCAAAGCCTTGGCCCAATTAAGCACATTTTTTCTCTCTCTGATCAAGTTGACACTGACACTCAACCCAAAACAGACATGCTATCAGAAAATAAACAGCACAATGACCTCAATGAATTTGCATAGTCAAATTACTTGGATGTCAACCTGGCATTTATAGTTTGCATCTGATTTGCCCGTGTACAAACTTTATCTTTTTGTTGGCACAGAGCATGGCAATATATGTAAAATTCACTCAGGACATCTCACCCATGCTCAACACTCCCCTGAAGGCAAAGAAAAATAAATATACACTTCAGGGAAAACTGCACAGGGAAGTGTGATAACTGAAGTTCACGGTCTTCCACACCTCACTGAAGTCATAGCAAAACACATGCACAGAATCACATGGATAAATTGTGTGGTTTTCTTCCTTCTTTCTTTGTCTACAGTCACAATGAAGCAAGAGATCAAGGCCGGGGTGGACTTCCTCAAACGAATGGCTGTGACACGTGGTAACTTAGATGGTGCCAAAGCAGAGTTGTTTGCAGAAAATCTTCAAAGACTTCTATGTGAAAAATACAAGGATCACTGGTACCCCGACTGTCCCAGCAAAGGCCAAGCATTTAGGTAATCATCGCTGTTTAAACATTTACACAGTGGTCAGTGAGTGACTTTTTCCTTCAAAGAAAGAAGGCACCTAACTTTTAATTCCTGAACTTTTCACAGATGCATTCGCATAAACAGAAGCATACCCTGTGATGAAGTGGTGTTGCAAGCCTGCAAAGAGACTAACATCATGCCCACCAGCCTGGGATTTCCATCTGAGATGACTCTGTGGATTGATCCACTGGAGGTGTCTGCAAGGTGAGTCACTGGGTGCCTGCAGAGGCAGACAAAGACGCAGCCATTTGTCAGTCTGTTCTGTTCTGAACGAGTGACAGTTGTGATGCAATATGTGAAACAACAAGTGCAAACTTGTAGGAAGTCACAGGCTGGAAAATGGATGGCATGACTTAAAAATCATTTACTCCCTTCTTCACAGATCCAAAGAGAACAACAGTCCCTTTAAAGTTGCTTCTTTCGACAAAGAGGAGGAAGAGGAGAATGAAGAGTGTGTGAAGGATGACCTGGATGTGTCCTCGCTGGACTCACTAAGCCAGGAGACTTCAGATTACCACTCTGCCACATCTTCGGATTGTGGTTCAGCTTCATCGAGTGACACGGAGGAGGAGGTGAAAGATGGGGATGTGCAGGGAGAAAAAGAAAAAGAAGGGCAGGTTGCTGAGAAGGGAAAGATGGAGGATGAAAGCTGCAAAATAACCATGGTGCCCAGGATTCGAAAGCCACACGAAGATGGATCAAACAGGGTCAAATACCCAAGAAATATGGTACGTTTTTCTTGCTTTCTTTTCTTTTTGTTTTGTTTTGTTTTGTTTTGTTTTGTTTTCTTTTCTTTTCTTTTCTTTTCTTTTCTTTTCTTTTCTTTTCTTTTCTTTTCTTTTCTTTTCTTTTCTTTTAACAATCTGTTGGTCATCTATTTACCACAATGCTTCTTAGAGCAGTTATCTATGTGGCCAAACCTGTGCTTATGTTAGTAAAAGAAAGCACACCAGGGCTCGCAAAATCGCTAGCCCGATGGGGAGACCAAAATCTATCTCAGCCCCGCCCGTCGAATTATCATATAGCCCGACAGACGGGGCTGAGATAGATTTTGCGAGCCCTGCACACTAATTAACAATAGTGCTACAAGAAATGACTTCTTTGTTACAATGAACCTGAGTACAGTAGTCTAGTCAGAAAAACCCACATGCAGCATCCAGCTGCCACAAATATACACTTACAGATTCTCATCACATATCAGTTCAATTCAGTTTTATATAGCGCTTCATCAGCAGCAGTGATCAACATCTGTTGATCATCTCAAGGCAAACACCTACAATAATAAAGATAAAACCCCAACAATTAGATGACCCCTCTTTAAGCAAGCACTTGGTGACAGTGGGAAGGAAAAACTCAGGAAACCTCTTTCCATACCTTTTGTAAATTTTTTTTAGCTGGCCATTCATGAGGTCTTGTTGATGATGATTTCCAATAATGGAACGACCTCTGAGAGTTGAATGAGGTTTGAATGAGCTTTAAGGACTCTTGTCTACATAAAAGCTAATCCTAGCCTGCCTTTGTTGTGGTGTAGCAGATGTCTTAAGTTGTTGTGCTGGAAATCTGGTTGTCAATTCACACGGTTAGATCACTGCCTTAGCATTGCGCGACTATAAATCTGGGCAACTGAGCTACTGAAGGCAAGATTTTTTCCCTCTTAGTTAATTCACTTATTATATAGAATTAATGGCTTCAATAACCTATGCAGCTGAACATTTCTGTATGAAATAAGCGTGAGTTATCTGTGAATTATACGTTATCCAGTTTTAAGGATTTATGGCCTTGTTGTTAGCGACCGTATAGGTCCAGTGTTGTGATTCATTGGATTTGTTGTTGTTATAAGAAACTGGCTTTATTTCTTTTGGATTAACTGACTCACACTTTTTGCAATTTCTTCGTTTACACAAGTAAGATACATGAACAGCTATTTTTAGTTTCATTTGCAAGTTGTTGTTGATGTTAGCTGCTGCTATATTATTACAGTGTTATGTTTTGTTGTTGTGTGCTTTAGAAAGGATTCATCACATATGGAAAAAATGTGTCTGTTACCATCTTTTCAGATTTCACTCAATCCAATCTTTGTCTCTGTTCAGGTGCCTCCTAACCTTCAGGTCATCTACCACCCTACACCAGTGTGGCCTCAGTTCAAGAAGCATGCTCCAGTTTTCATCAGCACTGTGCCACCACCTCCAGCCCAGCAGGTCGTTGGATACTACGTTGTGCCGCGGACCTTTCCGCAGTTCATCATCCCTCAGGCTCCCCTGCAGCCATGGCGAGCAGGGAAGGAGTAGACCAATTGTGAACTATGGGGAGGGCAAGTTTGGGGGCATTATAAGCATTATAAGCTGAGCCGTCTGATGTCAGGCCTGAGTACAGATCTACTTGGACCAAAAGGTTTAGCTGTACAGTTTAATTATTCCTTTCATAATCTGAAAAAAAAAACCTCTTTTGTTTCTTCATTTTTCTTTGTCAATGACGGCTATTACTCTGCACAGGGATACCCCACAGCTCAAGTGAAAACTGCTCTTTGAATCTGTTGTGTTTGCACTGCTGCTTTTGTATTGATGAACTGTACTCAACAAGAACAACATCAGTCACTGGGTGCTTGAAGTTGAACTCAGGAATTCTCAGCAATATGTTTAATGCCAAAAATATGTCTTTTAAATTTTTTTTTACCATCTGTAAATCTTTGCAGGGTGTAAAAGTCACAGTTAATCACTGTGAAATGTGATTCAGGGTTTTTAAACTACTGTAGCAATAGTGACAATATCTGTCTATTAAGTAGAAGAGGCTATTTTTTTACTAAGCTGCTTGTAAATATTACCACATCCGATGAGCACTTTATAATCGTATATTTGTTGTAATTTATTCAGCCACCAATGGATGGCAGTCAAGTCACATACAGTCAGTTTTATATATATATTTCAAACTTTGGTTTTACTTTAGAAACGTCACTTTTCCAAACGTGAACATGTTTATTTAATAGCTTAAACGCTCTCTGCTGTAATATACAGAACGCTTGTGTCACTGTTTTTTTCTTGTTTGTTTGTTTTTTAATTTGAAATGGGCTTGCTTATAAAGTCGTGACTTTTTTATTGTTCATTGCTTGCTATGAGGTCCTGCTACAGCTTTATAAACCATGAATTGTTACTTTTCATTTTTTATTTATTTACATTTCACGCTTACGCATTGATTGATTTTGTTCTTAGTTCTTGCTTGAGCCGCTTGTTTTATCGCAGAAGATTAATCCATGCAGTTTTTTCTGAAATCATTGTTCTGACATGAATCGTACTTTTCAGTAAAGTCTTTGCTGTTGCGTTTAAATCCTGTTTGTGTTTCTTCTTTTTTTTATTCACTTGGCTGGGAAATCACCTGTATAAAGTGTATCCTCGGGCAGAACTCTCACTGCCGTCAGCGGAACAGCAGGATCTGGTTAGCGGAAGTACTCTAGTGCGTTGGATGCGTCACGTTGCCCAAGGTCATGACGCTGTGCCTCAGTTGAAAGGGTTTAGGACAAAGGCTTTTTTTTTCTCACTTTTTGTGTAGTCTATTTGGGGACTTACCTGTGCAATTTAATAAATATGGAGACATCGAAATCAGAGGGCACAGTTACATGAATGTTTTCAAAATGACAAGAAAAACATTTTCAGGTAGAAATGGAATAGTGACAGCAAACGATGTTAGTGAACCCTGACTACTGCATTGAATATAACCTAGTGCAACTCATCCCCGCCACGGCTCTGTAGCTGTTGTGAAACTTGCGCAGTCCAGGTTTCATTGCGTCAGAATCAACTTGAAAGATTAAAATAAAAGCACGGGGGTTACATACCTGAATTTCCATACATTTGCCGTTTGGCGTTTTCTCTCAATTAAAATAACAATGATTGGATTCTTTTTTCTTACACATCATCAAATAAAGAAATGTACAAAAGTTTATGTCATTTCACTGCACCTGCAACCTTCCTGTGCTTCACTGCTAAGAGAGTGCGCCACGCACGTGACGAGCGCATCCACCCGCGCACAAAGAAAGCGCTTATCAGACCAGCGCACACTCTTAAATAATAAGACATGCAAATAAGAGCGCAAAGTCCGCTGCAGTGTGGACAGTGTGACGGCTGTGCGCGCGAGCAGTGCGCGTAACCGCTCCGCGCCGGTTGGGCTGGAGCGGTGATTGTGGAGAAGACCCGAGAGTTTTGGTAAACCCGCATCGTGGATGAGGAACGCAAGTGAGAAGGGCCTGCTACGCGACTGTGCCATCGGACTATGCCTTACCCAGCTCTGGAGGAGAGCAACAGGCAAAGCATAGGGCGGGAAAGCGCAAGGCGACAAGGAGAGGGGAGCAGGCGGGCGTCTCGTGTGCGCTCCGGAGATGGAGATGACAAATCGCAGCCTGCACGGCGACTCCAAAGTCGACTGCGTGAGCTGCGATGGCCTGATCAGCCGAAACCGTGGGGACTCCGCAGACGTGTCGGTGCCACTGACACTCCCCGGGAAACGGACAACTCACATGGAGGGAGACGACCTTTACAGACTCCGAGACAGAAAATTATTACTGGAGGATAAAAAGCGTCTGTGCGCGTGGACTCTGGGCACCGCTCTCTTTGGGATACTGCTCATGATAATCCACGCAGAAATATGTCCCTATGTTTACACTCCGGTAGGTTTAAGACACGAAACACGTCAGTGTCTTTCAGACATTATCTCCACAGCGAAATGCACAGCTTACATTTGAAATTAAATTAAATGTTTAACCATAAAACTTTATCTTGTATAGTTCGCTACCTTCTGTGTCAGCTGCCGCCTCTTATTATGTGGATTCATGTGAATATTTTTCTTAAAAGTTCTTAAAGCCCACGCTAGAAGTGATGTGACACATTGCTCTTTTGCGCATGTTGTAAAGCGTTTAAATGATAGCATCTTTAATGATAGCAACTTTGCATCTGCAAAGTTAGTCCGTTTGTTCAGCCCTTCTCTGGAAAGAGCAGACAAAGCTCTGACAGCAACATTAAGCTCACTTTCTATTTTCAGGAGCTTACTTTTTTATTGTTTGCCCTTGGACTCATGCTCAAATGCTAAATGAACAAATGAACACTACTGCTTCTACCTTAATTCAGAGGAACTAAAGCCTGTAAAGACTTGTTCCACTGCTGGCAAGCAGCACCTCAAATCAATGTCAACCTTTTAATAATACACACCTAGATTTGATTTTTCTTAGAAGCACATTTCAGGACACAGCTTTTCATGACTAATTTCTTGGTTAACAAACAACACTAACCGCTTGCAGCTCAGCAGCATAATCTGCACCTGGTGTTTGACCGTCCGTGACCCGTTAATTAGTTAGTTCATTTCCAGACAGTCTATTTGGTAGCACAGACTCATGATATTAAGATGCAGATCTCAGTGGATAACAATGCCAGTCTACACAATCAGCGAATGATTGACCCCCCCCTCTCTCTCGCAGCACATGCCAGTTCCACATGTGGAAAAAAGTTACGACACGTGCTGCAGAACATCAGACCACATCCATGCTGTGAAGTCAGGGATTGATCATGCTGTCAGAGAGTCTCACATTTCTAATGCACACCAGGTACACCGCTCTGTCTGTTACATTCAATGAGGTTGACCTGGAGAAATTATGATGGTGAAACTAAATGTACTGGCATAAATATGAGTTCAGAATTTCAGTTTACAAACATGAACCAAGAACAGGTGCTGTTCAACTGCTCCTAACAGCAGGCATCGGCTTTGGTATGATGGAAATGCTGATGCACTGGAAAAGTGTTCTCTGCCCACAGTAAAAGCATATTATTTTGGAGAGGCTTCAGTTCTGATTTAACCATAGCTTATATAACTCATGCCAGGATTCATACTACTTTTTGTAACTTCATGCAGTGCCAAAGTCATGAATGTGAGCTGCACCATGGACTCTTTTGGGGGGGGGGGGGTTATCACATAACAGCAGCGTTAATCAAACATAGCATCTATATCTTTCCCTGGAAGTGCACCATATAATATTATTTGTTTTTATGTCATTTTTATGTATGCTGCAGCATATATTTGGAGCGGCTCTATCAAAGTTAGCAATCGTCTACAAAGTTGTATTCAAGCAAACCTTTTTCGTGGTTATGCACAAAAACAAAGCTATTTATGGAGTGTTTTTCCACATTTCACCTCTTCCCCTGCAGCATGATTGTTAACAGTACTTCAGGCGATCTTTCCACATCATTTAGTGTATAATTAGAGCGTTTGCATGGCTAGGCTAATGGTCTCTCTGTCTTGACTAAGGTTGTTCTAGTTGCCAGGGGGATGCACTTTGACTTGAATGTGACCTTGTGTCATCTTTTCTGCTGCTTTTTTAATTAACTGGCTTTTACAGTTTGAAACAATTTACATGCACCAAGACTGAAAATGTGAGCATTCGATCATTATTGCAGGCATTTGAGTGATTCTGAGACTACAGGTCAAAAAGAAAGTTTGTGACAGATTGGTCCGCCTGAACATAAATGGGAGATTTTTGTCTCATACAGAAAACATCATTTGGTAGACAGCCCATACATTTTTATAGCATCCTATTGTTGTATCAAACAGCACCTCTCACTAATCATTACTTTGCAGATTATATTTAAACTTAGTCAAAAGCATTCCATGTGCCAAGCAGGTGAAAGTCCTGATAATGAATGTCAATATCATTATCACAACTTTAACGTGGCTATATTTCATCCACTGACTACACAGACGTTTGTTTTTTAAACTCATCAGAGCAAAATAATCAGCAGAAATGGATCATCTGATCAAAGGTCAAACAAAATGGGGAGAACATTTTTTTTTCACACACGCAGGGCAGCCACATTTGGTATCCGTGTCCCAATCCCCATAGTGGAAATGACTTCTGTGTGAGCTTTGCTTTTGCTTGATATGGGTCAAAAATGATGTAAATCTTTCTCTTTTTGAATTTGACTTATGTAAATGTAGGCTGTGCAAGCCAGATGTGTGGGTGTGCTGCAAGTACTACACATCCTGTTCTTAAAAATGATGAGTTTAATGTTTCGGTGGTTGCTTTTCCTGTTTCACTTTTATGAATCTACATTGCCTGCAAAGTAGCTGCTGATAGCGAACATAGGTTTGCATGATTATGCCCTTTGCACTAAGAAACTTGGGAAGTCACTGGCATTCTTTGAAAATATGAGTACACAGCATGCGTATATCAACAGGATGAGCTGGTGGTGAGCTTGAGGCTTGGTAGGTATAATGTAGACATCGAATAAAGGAGGCAGCTTGATTAGGACGGATTTTGTTTTGTTTGCTGCTTCCCTTTATTGGGATGGTAGTTTGGAGGTTAGTACTGTTGCATTATGGCAACAAGGTCCTTGCTTCAGATCCAGGGTGGGCATGGGGTGGCTTTAAATTAACTATAGGTATAAATGTGAGCATGAGTGATTGTCTGCAACCCTGAACTGGACAAGTTGAAGAAGATAAATGGATGCTTCCCTTTCATTTGGTTGAAAGTTTTGGGGTAATTACTATTATTTCTTTAAACATTTGTTAGCAAATGCTTTAATTTTTTTGCCTACTCTTGATTTAAGACTTACCCAGTAAACATTCACTTTATAATTTTCTGTTTCTAAATAGTATATTCTGAACTCATATGGGCATATGGCACAACAGAGAGATTTCAATGTATATCACCAACCAGACAGCAGGAATGTAAAAAACAAAATGAGATGAAGAGGCAGTCAAAACAAAGCAGCATCTCTCTGACATTAAGATTTTCTTTTTTTTTTTTTACCTTTTCCACTACACTACTTTTGATCTTGTCTGATATTCTTTGTAAACCCACACTTAAATTTATTGCAGAGAATGTACATGAACGTTAATGAAACCACAGTGGCTAACAAACCAAACTCGAAAACTAAAGTCAGATGCATGTATTATTACTTTGGAAAGTATTTATTTATTACAAAACTCAACCCAGACCGCTGACTATTGCGCTAGATATAGTGTTTTGTTTTGTTTTTTTATATTGTTTTGCCATACCTTGGGTGGCCTGTTCTGGTGACACTGGATCCTCATTTGTCCAAGACCATCTGTCCAAGTCTGTTAACCCAAAGTAGGTTAAACAGGAAAATGTTACAGAAATAATTTTAGAAACTCGGCACGAAACATGCTGTTGAGCTCTGTGTTATGGTGTGTGGTGAAATGTTGAGCTTTTGCGGGGTCTTCTAATTAGTGCTGGATGAATCACAGACGTGATGTGGATGCTACGGGAGAGACTGTGGAAAACAATGTACCTTGCCAATGGACGTCACACCATACCACCTACACACTCAACTCGCCTCAAGTTTGAAAGTTTGTAATTATCTTTTTGTCAGTAAAACCACACTGAACTATGCTTCTTGTGAAAAAGCAAAAAAGCTTCCACTAATACATCACCTGCACTGACATGTATGGCTCAGCATTATAGACAAATATAGGGCCTTTTAAAACTGCTGAGACCAAGGTGATTTGGTTTTTGATTCATCACGTGACACCGTCTCAATTTTACGATGGAGCAAAGCATTATGGTGTGAGTATCTGAGCCTGTAACTGCTTGTTCCGTGGAATGGAAAGTATTTAATTACAAGCACACATTACTTTAATTAAGTGGTTTTGTATGTATTTTTTGGAGTTCACTGTAGAATCAGTAACTCCTTTTTCATTAGGACTAATTACTGTAAATTATGTGAAGCTCATTTTGGAAAGAGTCAAAAAGTAGCCTGCAATTGTACTGTTATGTAACAGAAAGACAAAAATTGTTCAATATAATATATTATGGAAAGAGAAATTCCAACAATACGTTCATCATAAACAAAAAGGGGGCTAATGTACATTTGAGAAAACATCAGATTGTAGAGACTGATTGGTGACCATGCAAAGTAACAGAAGTGCAGTCATTATTGGGCAGTAATAAAATACATGCAGTTAAGCTAGTAGCTTTTTGATTTGTTTTTACTATTTTGTAGTTGTGGATAGCATTTCGTGTTTTATAAAGTTGAATATCTTAGGTCTAGTATTATTTTTTAACCTGGTGAGTGAAATACTCCCATCTGGGCAGTTTCTGGAAGGCAGGTGTTTGACTGACAGCCATTGTATACAACAGCAAAATGGTTATTCCTACTCTTTCCCAAGAATAGTGGGGAATTTAATTTTTTATGTTTGTTTTTGATCATTGAACAATTTGGCACTTTTTTCCAAACAAAGCAATTGATCGATCCCTCCACTGACATGAAACCTTTTTTTTTAAATTATACTTTGTGAATACAATCCTAATTCCAAAAAGGCTGGAATGTTGTGCAATATGTAAATAAAATCAGAATACAAAGACTATGAAACTTTTTTTTTTCATGAAAAATGTTACCTCGTTTTAAATTTGATGGCACATCTCAGAAAAGTTGGGATGCAGGCAACAAAAACAGCTGGAGGAGCATTTTGCAGCTAATTAGGTTAACCGCTAACAAGTCAGTAACATGACTGGACATAAAACAAGTCTAATCTTAGAGAGGCACAGTTTTTCAGTAAATATGGGCAGTTGTCTACAAATCAAAAAAGAGTGGCTAGAATGTTTTGAACATGTTCCTCAACATAAAATTCTAAGGATGTTGAATATCTCATCATGTACAGCATGTACAGTCATCAAAAGAATGTGAGAATCTGGAGAAATATCTGTGCTTAGGGGACAGAGCATTCTATCTATCTATTGTTAATAAAATATCAGTTTATGAGATTTACAAATCATTACATTCGGTTTGTAGTTAAGTTTTACAGGGCCAATCTTGGAATGGGGGTTGTGTTTTATTATTATTTATGTATTTTTTCCACTGTGATGGACTTATGACATGTCCTTCTGGTGTCCTGTGAGAGCTGCAATAGGTCCCAGGCTCCATTGCAAACCTGAGCTCTGCAAGCATTTAAGACAATATATTGATAGATTTTTTTTCAGATTTTTTCAGTGGATTCTTTAGTTTAGAAAGATAAAAGGATAAAATTTACAGTGTCACACAGCAGACCAAGACAAAGACGTGCGTTCTCTTCACAATGCCTCAGAATAAATGAATTTTCCTTAGATGAAACAAAGCCAATCGCAGTTTTGAAATCAAAAGAAAAATGTCATATACAGACTAGACCAAGAAGAAAAGAATGTTCTGATATATATATATATATATATATATATATATATATATATATATTAGATAATTAAAATATTGTGGATAAAAGAAACATTACAGCAACTCCTTTTAAAAATTATTAGTTATTAATTTTTCATCTTTCATCCCTTTATGGTCTGGTTTGATCACTGATTGATGTAATTTCAGGATATTGTTTCTATTTTAGTGTGGATTTCTAGTAAAATGTATTTTTTTTTTCATAAAACAGGTGGATGAAGGAAAACTAAAACATAATTTGAGCAAATAATTTCTCATACTCTAGACTTAAGAAGTCACTTGGATGAGTGAAGAAACATTTCTCCCACTGTGCTGTGACATGTTTTTCAAAAAGCTGGTTTCCTATTTACACTTTGGCGTAATCAGATTGTTTGTTGTGGGTTTTCATGTTTTTTGAAAAAACTGACCTGATTTCCGTGTCATTTAAATATAATTGATAAAGACAGGAGAGTTTAATGCACTAACATTGCATATATGTTATTAATGATATAAATCAATGGGGTAAAAGAAGAAATCAAAGATATATTTGGTGTGTGTGTGTCTGAGAGAGCGTATATTCATATGTCTTGATGCATTCTCAATCATCCAGGTAAGTAAATCTCCAAAAGTTGATTCTGTTGAACAGATGAACAGAATCAACTTTTGGAGACGTGTGTGTGTGTGTGTGTGTACTTACTTTAAAAAAGACTTCTTATTATGGACAGTGGGGGCCGTCATATTGCCTGCTCAGGCTCCTCAGAAGCTGATAGAGTATGTCCTAATTTGAGCGTTCACCTTCCTGCTCCGCTATCTGGCCTTCCTCCACCTCATCTCCTGACAGCTCTAATCTGACTCTCCTTCCACAATTTTGAGTTTAATCTTTTCTGTCTCTCCCTGCCCTCTTCTTCCTGAAATAGGCTGAAAATGTGAGGTAGTAAGTCCTGCTGTCCACTTCAAAGGAAACTAAACAAAATGCTTTGTTTCAGAAGAGATAATATCACTGGGCATTTCTGAAATTCTACTAAATCAAAGTTAAGACTAATTGATGAAATGATTTCGTTTATGGGAGTAGAATCACAATATCTGCAAAAAATGATCACTTAATCTCCCTTGTGGTCATAAAATGTAAAAGCTGCAATTCCTGTTATTTTGAAAAGAAAGTCCATTTGCTCTGTTTGCCAAACAGACACAAATATAGCATCAATAGAAAGTGCATTATGTCCTCTTGACATTGCAGCAGGACTCGTATAGATTGCATAAATAGCCTTTGACGTAGAAGTCTCAGATTCATGTCCTTCACAAAAGGATAAAATTGAATTGCTGGGTCTTAGTTAATAAAGTACGTGCCCAATGAAGGACTTGATTTGCATGTAAGTGTTTTCACTCAGTGCTACAGAAGGGACTAGCAGCTATCCAGTTCTTGGGCTATATCAAACCTTGATATATGAAAACATGAAAAGCAGTGAAATTTTAGACATTGCAGAAGAACAGCTGTGTTTTCATCACTCACGGTTCTGTTTTCTCTAACTCTATCTGTTTTCTTCTCAGGGCTCAAACATTGCATTGATCATCAACTGCTCCATCAGCCTGTCAACTGGGTGTCTTCTGATCCTCATTATAGCTTTCCATTATAAGGACATCCAGGTGAGTATGCTTTTTATGTTTTTTGGCATCGCTTATTGAACTATTACTTATTGTAATTCAATGTAACTCAGCATTAGTTTGGTTAAAATTCTATTTTTTTAGAGATACTTAAAGGCAGCTTTTTAAAAAGCCCCTCTCAGGCCATGTCTGGTAGCCTCAACACTGATTGTCTGTGATATTTGCTGCATGCAGGAAAACCCCAAATAAAAATCTCAGCCCACACAGGCATGCGCAATATTGCAGCTGTAATGTTTTTCCAGTCTACGTGGCTTGCTGCCGATTTGTGTGGGAATTTAATATACATGAAGGGATTTGGTTGAAATTAAACAGAGTAAACATTCTTTCATTTCCCCTCTTGCACAGTCACAGCATGCATGTTGAAGAGTGGTAACAACAACAAGTACAGAAAGAACTGTGTGTCTGTTTTGTAACAGTTTCTTTCATTTTTGCCTGCTGGGTTTGTATTCTTACCTACAGAGTGTTTAGTTTGGTCATAAGTCGCGTGTATCTGATACAAGAGGGGTACTGTCCAAGTGTGTAGAGGAGATAAGGAAGGACAGGCTTAGGGTGGGGACTGATATAGAGACAGTGTGCAGTGATGCATGCTGTAACTGGTGTCAGAAGTGGCAGGCTAAATCATTCAGACCGTCTCAAAGTGTCTTAGTTGGTGGATTAAAGAAAAAGTAATAATTAACAAAATGATGAAAGAGGAAGTTCTAAGAATGTCCTTGCTTCACTTTCTTAAACAAAATAAAGCTGCAGATTGAAGAAGTGGAAATATCTGAGTCACAATTTCAATACACATTCATAGTTTATCTCACAGGCTTCTGTCAAATATTTCTGGTTCAAATCTTTAGCGGGCCAAAAATAATTTTCTTATCATTTCCCTTTTAGCACAGCCCAACTATCGTATACTTGCAATCTTTCCCGCTTATAATGCAAAGTATGCATGTCGTAGTAATCCACATAATGAGATTATACTATGCGTATCCCAAAGTATTTTGTTCTTTCTAACAACTTTTTATTCCCCATCATAACTTTGCTGAGGCAATTGATAGAAATGGAAGTCATATAGTTGAAAACACATCAGCAAAATGAAAGCACCCTGCTAATGTCATTAGCAAATATTGTAGGCAAATTCAATTCAGTTTAGTTTTATTCATATAGCACCAAATTATAACAGCAGTCACCCTCAAGTGCCTTATATTCTAAGATAAAGGCACTTTCATAATACACAGAAACCACAACAATTGGGCGACCACTTGTGAGCAAGCACTTGGCGACAGTGGGAAGGAAAAACTCCCTTTAAAACAGGAAGAAACCACCGGCAGAACCAGGCAGAAGAGAAAAGAAGAAAAAAACAGACTGTGGAAGACAGCCAGAGATGAACAGTAACTAATGCTAACTAATGATTAAATGCAAAGTGATTAATAAACATGTAGTAAGTGAAATAAAAATGGAAGATGAAGCTAATGACAGAAGCTTTGGAGAAGAAACATCACAGATTTTATTTACACCATATTTACATACCATCATTACATTAATTGCATATCATATCCACAGTATGAGAAGAAGATGCAACTGTAATGTTATTGTCTTCCATCTCCAACTGCACTTTGATCAAATTCCTTTCTATTTTTACTCTTTACTGTCCTCCCTCATCCCTCAGCTGTTCATCATTGACCACAACCAGGTGGACTGGCGTATCGCCATGACCAGCCACAGGATTATTGTCATCACCCTGGAGCTGTTAGTTTGTGTTATCCATCCTGTTGGATCATACTGGGGGGTGGGCCTCCATGTGAACTCCTCTTCCACCGTTCCCACTCCATCTCCACTGTGTGTTTCCAGCCACCACGGCGAGACCCTGATGGACATGGAGCTGCTGTTATCAGTGCTGATGTTCCTCCGCTTGTACTTGGTGCACAGAGCCATCTTGCTGCACAGCAAAGTGCTGCTGAGTGCCTCCTACAGGAGCATAGGCTCACTCAACAATATCAACTTCACCTTTCGCTTTGTTCTCAAGGTACTGATGAACAAACACCCAGCACGCATGCTGCTAGTCTTCATCCTGTTCTTCTGGCTCACTGTGTCCTGGATGCTTACACTGTGTGAGAGGTATGAAGCACAACTGAGACTTTGTGTAATCAAACTGATTCAGAATCGCATTAAACTGATTTTTCATTTGCACAAATGCAGGCATTACAATAACGAACCAAAGATTTTCAATGACAAAATGAAAGTTTTCTCATAAAAAAAAAAAATTAATTAGCTCTTTCTCTTAATCTCTCTTCCATCTTCACCCAGGTGTCAACTGACTATTATACACAGAAACACCAAAATGCTCTCCAGTAGTTTAACATTCCTCTTCAGGGTTTGATAGTCAGTTTGACTTTCTGGTTCAAAATGGATTTCCAATAAATGATTTCATAATTCTCCCCTAACAAAATTCTTTTTGACGTCTGCCAGCTAAATGTCAGCCTGATCCTCTGCAATCTGCCTGGCTGTTTAAACAGCGTGAGGTCATTTGTTCGTTTGAACCTTAATGGGCGGTTTGCCTTCAGTTTTCCGCTTCTTTCTCGCATTCGTGTATATTTTGACATTTTGATTTGTCAGAAGTAATAAAAGAGCTTATTACTGATAGCAGATAATTTCACCAAATCTGTCAACACGCAACCATTATGCTAGCTGATTACTAGATCCGTGAGCCAGACGGATAAAATGATATGTTATCTAGCTGTGAGGCTTCAGCAAAGTTTATATTGGGCTTGTACTTTTGATGTTTTACAAGTTTATACTGGTTTCGACTTCCCGAACTCCTGAGTGCTGTAAAAAAATCTGCACTGATAAGGCGGTTTGATTAGTACGCCACACCTTCATCAAACAGACTGTGTTTGAGATGTTAAGAAACAAAATGAAGAACCTCAGAGAGTCAGGGAGAGTGTCACAAATAAACTTATGCATTGCATCACTTCAGCTCTTAATTGTATTTGGTGATTCACTGAAATAGTTAAATATAAGAAGGGATTTAGCCTGTAACTGTATCTATAAACAGGTTTCTGGATTAGACTGATATTAGTCAGAATTATCAGCTGCTACTTATACTTATACTTATACTCCAGAGCAGTTGTTGAATAGGATTAGAGAACTAATCCTATTCAACAACTGATATTAGAAAACAAACAAAGAAACAACCATACATACAAAAAAAAATGTTTTCTATCTCATACAGTTTCACAACTGGGGGGTGGGGTTAATTGTGGTAATGTTTATTTTTTAACTCAACTAATACCTCTTTATAATATGTTTCATTACACTTCAGTCTCAGTGCTACGTTGTTTCTCCTGCAGGCAGACCAAAGAATCAACAGGCCATATGGATACAGCGCTGTGGCTCATAGCCATCACCTTCCTCACAGTTGGCTATGGGGATGTGGCACCCAAAACCAACTGTGGCAAGGCAGTGTGTCTCTTCACTGGAGTCATGGTAACTAAGCTGATTTGAGAAAATGTAGTACTGAAAATGATTTTAGATTCACATAAAAACTAAGGGCATACTGAATAAAATAAAACACACAATGCTTGTTCTTCATCAAATGATTGTTTTGGCCTTGTATCAGACAGTGTATGAAAAAGGGAAAAGTGTAGCATCTTTAGCATAGCATCTTTATTTTTAATGCACTTTACATCCAACAATGTTGGCCAAAGTGCTACAAATATAAAACAAAGAGAAAACAGTTTAAATTACATATAGAATACCTTAAACTTAAAAAAAAAAAATTGATAACAAAGATATTAAGAGACATCAACAAGTCCTGCTGTGTACAGTAAGGCCCAGAAGTATTAGAACAAAGACAAACATGAAGATTTTCAGCTTTAATTCCAGAGGTTTAACAAAGGTATTCCATGAGGAATCACAATCATTTATATACAACTTGATGAACTTGATGAAGTTAGACTGCCTAAATTCTAGCACCCAGTCGCGTTCAAAGTTTGGTGTTTGTGAAGTGTGCAGTCTCATTTAGATGTTTAATCTGGCAAAGTTTAATCTGGCTTTATTGTTCTTGAGTCTAACCAGTGGTTTGCACCTTGTTGTAAATCCTCTGTAATTCCATTCAGTGAGTCTTGATATTAGACTTTGTCAGTGTCTGCCTCCTGAGGACTGCTCTAGATGTTGTGAAGAGGATTTTCTTATCGTAATAATTATGGTAATAATTCTGTAATCATGCACTTTAGTTGTTAGTGGTCTTTCAGGGCATTTGCTTTGTTACTGAGATGACCAGGTCGTGCCTTCTTTTTAAGACTGTAGCAGGATGTTCACAGCTTTCATTATCTCCCTGATTACTTTAATATGTTTTTTCAGCCCAATGATGGCCTCCTGTTTGCTGTTTACAGGAAGCATTCAGCAAATGCAAATTCAACAATTTGAATGAATTTCAAATCTGTTATCTGCTTATTTTGTCATGGAATAAAAAGGAAAAAGACCTAATTCATCTGAAACTACTTGGCATTCAATTTTCCAATTATTTTTGAGCCTCTGAAAATTAGGGAATGTGTATATTGTAATTCTTAAATTCCTTAATTGAATACTTTTGTTATACTCCTAAAAGTTTGTACTTCAGTCGCATCTTGACTGTTTGAATCAAAGTCCTTTGTGGTGATGTATGGAGACAAAATTATAAAAACTGTCTCACTGTACAAACTGTTATCTCCTTACAGTAGCTGTGAGACAACAACCCTCAATTCAATAGGGAGGCACAGGGAGTGGAGTTTTTTTAATCTTTGCTTTGCTTGTCTTTGTTACCACTGAAACCACCCGACACACTTTTGAGTGCAAAAACAGACAATAACACACAAAACCAAGAGCTTCTGTCACTGTTTTCACTTTGTCACACTATGTTGTCTCTAAATAGGTTGAATTTTCTGTTATCTTCCATTTTGTTCCATTTCTTCTCTGTTCTGTCACACTGTATTACATGTTGATTTCATGGATAGCATGAAATCAACATGCTATCCATGTTGATTTCACTGGAGGACTTCCTTTTGCGCAATTGATTTCATTCCTGTACTGTGATCTATTAGCATCTTTTATCGTCTGCTAGGGTTTATTATGTTTTATCGAATCCCTTCTCCGTGTATTTTAGCGTCATTTGTTCTACTTCATTCTACCTTCTCACCCTTAATGTTCTGTTCCACGTGTTTGTTTCATTCCCTTCTGTTCCACTGCAACAACTATTCCTCCATTTTCCTATTTCATTTTTCCTATGTCATTTTCAGGTCATTTCAGTTTGGTTCAGTTCACTTCTCCGCTGTTTGCAATCCAGCCTATTCTGCACTGTTCCACTAGTTATCTTTGATACATTAAATTCTTCTTGCTTGAATGCCTTCCTTCCCTTGTGTGTGTGTGCGTGATTTCGATTGCAGCTGTAAGTTGACACAGTGTACTTCTGCAAGACCTTGATATTACCAGGCGCTCACATGAAAAGACTGAGGGAGGGAAGCTGTCAGCATGCAGTGTACCCTGTGCAGTTGCACAAAGATCTATGTGAAGTGTGATGGCTCTGCTGAGTGTGCCATACTGTCTCAGAGAATTACAGCCAGGTTTAAGGTTTTTCATGTGTAAAAGAGCAAAAAAGGACATATATGAACATCTTAAAGTGAGATGTTTTTCTTAAAACAAGTTAGTTTTTTATGTTAATGCAAAAATGTTGGTAAGTGAAGACTGAAAAAAAGCTGGAGGGAAAGGTCAAGTGAGGGCAAGCAAGGAGTGGCTCCGTGTTTGAAATGGCAACACATTTTGCTGCTGCCTTGAATTCTGGTACAAGCAGATAAGAATCTCGGCCATGGCTCTGGATGTGGGCACAAGTCCGGTTTAGACACCTCTGTGACAGAGTGGAAAACAGTCCTCCCAATCTTTCCCTCTCTCTTTCTCCATCTCCCTTGTTTTCATTACGTTCCCCCCTTATAAGGCAAAACTTTCCACCATATCCATTTTAGGTGGTTTATTGCCTTTGGCACCACTACAACAGGAGGGTGTGCCAACCTGTGCCCAGGGTTTGGAAAAAAATAGATTTCCCACTCCCATCAGGGCAGCTCTGGGAGCTAGAAACTTGGGGTGATACTCACACCTGTAATATGGTTGAAAGCCTCAATGTTCAGCACTTTGGCCTCTGTCCAGCTATAACTCAATTTGCAGCTGTTTTAAGGAGTTGACACCACTTTTTGCATCCCATCCCTGTGTGAGGATGGATCCAAGGAAAGAGTTTGTACCTCCCAGGTTTAGCAGACGATGTAATGATAGATATTTTGTGGCTGGTGGAATGAAGGATAAATATATCTTTCAGAACTCTGGCTCAAGCTTTATTGCTCATGCTTGGTCTTTCTCTCTCTCTCTCTCTCTCCTCTCTTTCTAATGCAAGCTGAAAAGTGGAAAACAGGTAAAAACTGGTTAACTTTTATCTTTATTCGTAATGGATATGAGTGCAGTGTTTTGTCTCTGTCTCCATTGATACATCTTTTTATAGATGTGGATGTGTTTTGCTTTGAGACCCATTCGAATATTCACCATCATTCTGTATTTCCCTATCCAGGAATAGCGCTAAGCTATTCTCAGAGGAAACCCACACTATTTTAGTGCCACTGAGGCCCGTCTAAGCATTGAACTTTTTGTGTAAATTTAGTTTTGATTTATTAGATGGAAGTACGAGGATCAACACTGAGTTTTCTGAAGAAGTTCTTTCCTTAGAGGGTAATGGACACGTAAAAAGACACGCTGGCCGCTGTCATTGAGCTTAACTTGCAAATTCAGGCTCATCAGTTTTGTCTCAGTATTCTGGATCAGTCTTACATAATCGCTGACGATCTGTTGAGACGACAACAAAAATACTAAAAGCTCTGTGTGTCTTGGGTTTTAGGGTGTTGCCTGCACCGCCATGCTGGTTGCAATCGTTACAGAGAAGCTGGCGCTGAACAAAGGAGAGAAACATGTGCACTTCTTCATGATGGATATCCAGATTTCTAAAAGGGTAAGAGCATGCAACAATTTTCTGCAAACCTGTATAAACACACAGTAATCAGCCGGCATGCCTTTTTTATCAAGTTCTTTCTTTTTTTGTTTTTTTCATTGCTTCCATTTGAAATATTCTGTAGTGGGTCATGTGACATTTGCATGTATGGGTCTTTTCCTGCTTATTATTCTTTTACTTCAAAGTTGATATTTGTGGTTTTTCTTGTTTTCCCCCTGGAATCGCTGCAAATCATATATCCTTTGGGCTACATGAAGTAGGTGTCCGGACAGCTATCGGTAACTGTTCATACCCACATTCAGTGTGCAGATTTGAGAACCATTTAATTTAGATAATCCCTCACAATGAACACCATGTCCGTGTTTGTTGCTGTCAGAGTCAATGGGACAATGTGTGGTAATGCAGTTGTAAGAACAGAGCAACTGGAAGTCTGTGCTGCATTGCCACACAGCATTGATACAACAAACTAATACACTTTGGTATGCTTTGTATACTTGGTATTTTGGGCAATAAAAAGGAACCCACAAGAAAAGGAGAATTTGAGTTTTTATGGTTCAAAATTCTGTGAAAGTTTAAAGAAAATATTGTTTACTAATAGCTAAATATAAATGACATCAACAGCTGTCTTGTCCAACAAAAAATAATCTTGATAACAATTTATGTTAATATAAAAGTGTAACACATACATTTTCTGAGCTGTGTTGAAGTTCTCATAAATAGTGGCTCTAATTTTTGTAGCATTTGCATGAAAATTTTTGTGCAACAATCCAATAAACATGTTGTAACCATCAATTACCTTCCCTCCCATCACTGGTAGCTGCAGTGTTGTAAGCCAAATAAGAGACAGGATAAAACGGATAGAGATGTCAGGATGGATGAGTCACTGCTTTCCATGTTGCATGCACGCTTTGGTGTTTGATTCCTTTACTACAGGATTGTGTGGGAAAAGAGAAGGGAGAACTGCCAGGCTCTTGATGTCCTTTTCAAGGCGTCAAACAGAGGAAATAATCTTATCTCTGTCAGGAAAGAAACTTGTGTCACTTCAGGCCTGTGCAGCAGCGGGCAGGAAACTGCTGACGCGTGTGTTTTGCTTTTAAGGGTGTCTGAAAGTAAGTAGGAGAGGAGTGTGGTTGCAAGTGTCTGCTTGTTGATGGGAAAAAGGGAAGTTACAAGAAATCATTTTCAGTGTCTTGGTAATACGCAAAAATGTGTAATGACTGACAGATTGTGCAGTCTTGGTTTAAAGCTGTGTTTTGTATAAAGCAGTACAGCTCCCCCCCAAACCGTGTAGCAATGTCTGACTGAAGTAGAAGCACTGCTTTGGAGGATACAACCATTTCCTCTCTCCTGGTGGCTGCATCCTGTCACAAGGTGCATCTTTATGCCTCGCTTTTGGTTGTTTTGGTTTGTGTGTGTGCATGTGCATGCATCCTCCTGAGCTTACTGGTGCAGTCCAGATTTATACTGATGGGAACAAGGGAAGACATCTGGATGCAAAACACTGACAACCTCTATTAATAACCCTCACAACAAGGTCGTAGTGACATCATCACAGGGTAGTTACACACAAAGGTGATTTGAGCAGGAAGGTAAACAGACATGAATAGAATCAAATAAAAAACAAAACAAAACAGGAGAATACAAGCGAAATCTAGAAATCTCAAGTTCCTAGTTTAGCCGTTATGGCCTGTTTTATAAATTTCTGTATATAAGACTCACTGACCATAACAGCCACTATCTGAAAACAGCATCATTGTACAAAAGGGTGGAACAGGAAAGGCTATCTGGATTTCATCAGCTGGCCTGGACGATGTGTGCTGTACTAAAATCTTTAAAAGTTAACAGTTAGCGGCTCTGCACGAATTTTATCAGTCGAACATCCAAAGTTGATCAATATGTGCTGTCACCACATTTCTGTATGTTTAAGCAGTCAGTTCAAATGTTTCTTTTCCCAGATTCGCCATGCTGCTGCTAATGTGCTAAGAGAATGCTGGCTTCTTCATCGTGCAAACGTGACAAAGGGCAACCGCGGTGAGCACAGAAAACACCAGAGATGCCTTCTGGAAGCCATCAGAGTGTGAGTTACTGTATTGCAAAATAATACCTTCAGGCTGGGTGTCTGCGTGCGTGTTTCAGTCTGTGTGAGGGGTGTACAGTATGTGGGTGGTGGTTTGTGTGCCTTACATGTGTATTTTATGGGTCATTAACTAATTGTCAACATGCTCAGAGTCACCAATTTAAAGATGCTAATTTAGATTACTAATTAGATTTGTTTGCCTCTTTTATGTGGACAGGATATGTGTGAACAAGTGTCTGCTTTATTACTCTTCAGAGTCCAATGCAAAGTTCTTCCTGGCAAGTAAATAAATAAAAGGCCCCTTTTTTAAATGATTATTTGAAGTGTTTGACAATAACTGACAACTATTGTGCAAACCTTTCGGGAGATACTTTTAAGAAGAATCGCTTTTTTTCCTCCATAAATTATGTCTGCTTGTAATTGAACAAGTTTCTCTTCTAAGAACAAGTGGATTACACAAGACAGGATGTCCGAAACGCTGATCATGTGGTACATTATCCTGACAACAGCAATACATGTGTGAGAATATGTCAGCCTGTGTGAACGGGGTCGTACTTCCTGCTTTGAACTGTTCTAAACTATTATAAATAAACCCTGTGTGGAAAGTGTGAGAAGAAGGCCCCTCTCTACTTTAAGAGTTACAGTATATACTGTAATGAGACCCTTCTGCTGTCTTTGACCAGGTGCTTGATTGCAAAATTGGTTTTCATATGTTTTTGTTAGCTGATTGTCTGGATTGTCTATTGAAGGAACTAAATTTAGTAATGTTTCATAGCATTTCAACAAACTCAGCATGACTCCTTTAATACTGAGTTATTGAATACTTGATTGTCAGAATATTCCTCAAATCAGAGTTTCTGTAAGTGTTTTATCTCAGTGTAGTCACTCATATTGGACGATCAACACTTCACAGCATTTATTTTGTTTACATTCCTGTGCCTCAGGATAGCATTTAAAATAAGGTCTAATAAAATACCGTTTGAATTTTTCCACGTGTCTCAAAAATCACATTTACAGTTGTTGGTTTTTTTTTAACTTCACAGATTTCGGCATTTACGCCTTAAACAAAGAAAACTAAGAGATTACGTCAGTGAGATGGTGGATCTCCCAAAGGTAAATAACAGCACATCTGATTCACTGTAAAACTCCATTTATTTACACTTACAGGCCATTACATTTGGTATACATGTTCAGTCGCTCTGTAATGCAGATCTCTAATCAGCCAATCACCTGACAGCTACTCAATGCATTTAGGCTTGTACGTCAGGTCCAGGCGACCGGCTGAAATTCACACCAAGCATCAGAATGGGGAAGAAAGGTGATTTAAGTGACTTTAAAACAGGGTTGTTGATGCCATACCGGCTAGTCTGCATATTTCACAAATCTGCTGTGATTTTCCCACACAGTCATGTCTAGGGTTTTCAGAGAATGCTCTGAAAAAAGGAAATATCCAGTGACCAGCAGTTCCCTGGCCACTAACTCCTTGTTGATGTCAAAGAAGACTGAGCAGACTGGCAACAGTAACTCAAATCTCAAATAACCACTTTTTACAACCAAGCTATGCAGAAGAGCATCTATGAAAGCACAGCATGTTTAACCTTGAAGCAGATGTGCTACAGTAACAGAAGACCACACTGGGAGTGACATTTGCCAGCTATGAGGAGGAATCCGAAATTAAATATTGCTGTTTGGGGTTTCTTAGATAGAGCAGATAAATGCATACAAAAAAAACTGGATGATGAGATTTTAATTTGTCAGAAGTGAACAGGCACAGAAAAGGTTTCCATGAGGAAAAAACACATTAAAAAGACATCACCTAGTGAGAGTCACAAATGTAATTCTGGAGCGCTGTAATTGCTGGAATTATATGAAAATGTGCCCAGTTTCACTAAATAAGCCGTTCTATGGTTACCTTACAGTCAGTTACGGTCTAACAATCTACTCCTGCTTACTGACTGAGTGCAGCTGAGCCGCAGCATAAAAAACAAACAGCTTCAAACAAAACAAAAAGCGATCCAAATGTTTTTGTCTGATTCCCTCAAAATCACTGTCAATCAGTCAGTAATCCACATAAACTCTCCAACATACTTTTAAAATGTATCTGCACAGTGTTCAGTAACGTTAGACTTTTGGTTCTAGTTTGAACTCCAAGTGTGTTTTCTTTTCAAAGCCAAAATATTTGTGTTGTGTGGTGGATTTCAACAGATGCAGATGATTATGTGCGACCTCAGTGCCAACTGGAATAACTCCTATCGGGAGCTGGAGCAGCGAATCCTCTCCATGGAGCAGAAGCTGGACGAGCTGAGTCGCTGCTTCCAACAAACGTCTGATCTGCTGTCTCAGGTTGTACGTCACCGCAACCCAGAGATCAGGTAAACAATACTTACAGATGCCAGTGTCCCTGCACAGATCTGCTAAAAAACACACTGTAGGATGTCATATATCATACGTATATTCACTTTGGAGAATAACAAAATTATTTTGTTGGGTTTTTTTTGTAGGTGACACGACTGCACGCAGTTGTTAAAAACAGTCCGTAGTGTTTTCATCTGAAGTATCCACGAATCCTCTCCAACCAGAGCTGCTTTAGACTCTTTAACATGCTGAACCACTTGGAGGACTGGCATACTCACTAAAGATCATCTTTTGGCCCCATTCTGAGTGTACTGCACAGTGACTCACTGCTGTTAAATTATACAGATAAAATAAGACCTAAATTCACTGCTGGGAAATCCGAGTGCATTTTCAGGAAATCTGCTGGGTTTTCAAGCAAAAGGATTGGTGACAGAGCCCAAGAACTAACCTGATCTCAGTCAAGGACTGTGGAGGATCCTTTAATCTGCAATAACAACATATCTGTAAACTTCTATTTTCAAGATATTATTGATGCTCTACATTCCTAGCTTATTCCTGTGGAATAAGCCATTTTGCATGTTTTAATTTTTGCAGTATTTCAGTGTTAATCCAACCATTTTCCATCATCTGAGACACACGGTGTCTCAATAATTCATCACTGTTGTGCTCTCCTGTAGCCGTTTAAGTAAATCTTGAATGAAAATGTGTTTAACGGTAATAGACTTTGGTGAGTGAAGAGAATGAAGTGAATGTCAAATTAAACTTGATGAAAAGAAAGTTTTATTGCAAACTCTAAGTCGAAGGGATCCCATGACTATTAACTGAAACTTGCAGACTTGCGTCGGCCACAGTTTGACGGAAGAAAAAAAAAAAAACATCCAACACTTTACACCTGTTGAAAATAAAGAAACTTCAGTGGCCTTATAAGCTCATCTTTTAGCAATCCAACTGCTCCATCTAGTGGTCAATATTAAAACACACAACAATAATCATAATAATAAAAACTACACGACTTTCTTCCAGATAATTGCGGATTCTTCAGCATCTCAAAGGAGCATAACATTTTCAGCTGTATTAAAACAGAAAACAAGATTTAATTAAACCTCTGTACAAATGTCACTAATAAGAAAGCACTTTGTGAGAACAGCTGCAAAACTGGACCAACTCTCTCTCTCTTTCTGGAGGATTAACTGGAGTTTTGTTTAAACTTAATCCAGTGCTGGAAAAAAAGCCTCCTTGTTGGCTACCTTTATTTTTTTTTTCATTTTATTTTATTTTTTTAAACTCCGGTAGTTAGTGTAGCAGCAGAAAAATGTATGAGAAACTAAATATGTAACATTTGCACATGGTAAAAACATGTTAATAACCATCTAAAACATGCTTATAATTCAAAGTCATTTAGAATGAGTGTGTTTATGTTTTTGCTTTATTTCTGTCACTGGAGGACACATGAATTAAACAGACTGGTGACAAGCAGGTGTCATGTGTGGCATTTCTATTTTGATTTGTTGCTTGAAGAAATAAAAACTGATCTATTCGTACTTCTGTCACACCGTAGGCTTCTTCGGTTTGTTACTTGTCCTGTTTTTAAGCTGGTGCCATATGTATGCTGAAGGCCTGGGAAACAGTTCTCCGCAGTCACACGTGAAGGGCATTCTGCATGTTCTCTTGACTTTTCTTTTCCACGTGCAGCCAGAGGGAGATTTTTTTGGAGACCCGCCCTTCAGGTGCTGCGCCAGGAGTTTAGCTCCTGTGAAAGTGTCCCCACAGCTAACACAGATGTAGCTTATGGCTTCCGCGTGCTGAATACAGTGTCTCAGGAGGTGCAGCCTGTGTTTAAAAGCTCGTCCGCATGGGCACTTGTGCGACCGGCGGCCTCGGTGGAGGTACCGGTGGCTGATGATGAGCGAGGGCTGCCGCAGGACAGCGCCGCACTGCCTGCAAGGGTAAGGCACCTTGGAGCGCCAGCTGCTGTTCATGCGTTTCATCAAAGCCAAGTGATGGCTGTCATTCTCAAACATGGCTAGGATGGTTGGCATTGGTTGTGAGGGGGGGTTAAAGAGCGCACCCTCTTGGTATGTGTCCCGGGGTCTTGAAAGCACAGGAAAAGGGGAATGAAGGTTACTTGAAGGCGGTTGGTTTGGCTGAGCTAGGGCACCATTTGTCCCTGACGTTTGGCCATCACTGTGTGTTCCATTAATGGCCTTGCTCACGAACTTGGTTGACTGCAGCTGGATTTTTGTGCTCTGGGCTCCTCGGTTATCCTTTGCCAACAGTGATGGAGTAGTAACAGTGCACGCCTTGGTGCTGACCACTGACGTGTGAACTTTGGTTACGTGCTCTACTAAATATTTCTCAGAGGTAAAAAGGAATTTGCATATGTTGCATGCTTTCGGCATTGACTCAGAGCAGAAAAGCACCAAAGGCGATTTTCTCCCTTTGGGACACTGGTGGCTATAGTACAAGTTTTTGTGACTGAAAACTTGGCCACAGATGTCACAGGCATACAGAGCCAAGTGGTGTTTCTTAACAGCACTCTCAGTTAGAAAGGCCTTCTTGCACAGAAAGCATTGATATTTTACTCTTACGCCACTGCAGTGCAGCAAGTGGAGCTTAATTGACTTAAACGGACCTCTGCCGCACACAGTGCACATTACACTATTGGCAGCAGGAAAGGGTGCACATGTCGTTTGGGAATCTGGACAGTCTGAAAAATGACCAGAATCATTGGGAAAACTGGAGTTGGAGCGACCATTTGTTTCAGAGTGATCTGGAGGCAGTTTATTAGGTTTAGAGTGTGTCATGACTTCATCTTCAGAAGCAGAGCTTGTTGAATCTTCTGCCATGTCGGAATCACTTTCAGTGCTAAGATCTTCATCATCTGCACCCAGTATGTACGCCACACTGTTTTTAGGCATCTCAGGTTTTATATCAGCTCTCTGTTCAGACTTCAGTGCTGGCAGTGAGTCATGTTGAACAGTATCTGCATTTTGCTGCATTGTCTTCTCATTAGGAGAGCTGTCACTGCTCTGCCTCTTACAAATCAACGAGGAATCTTCTTGGATAAACTCAGAGTCTGTACAGTGTTTCTCTGCATGCTTGTTCAGCTCCCAGACATTGCTGAAAGACTGATGGCATTTGTTGCAGACAGGTGGCAGATGCGCATTATCCAAGTGTGTAGAGAGTGACGTCAGGCGACGGAAACTAACCTTGCAGATGTGGCATGTGGCTTTGGTATTGTGGCTTTTATAATGTGAAATCAATTTCTTTAAGTTGTGGATGTTCTGCCCACATTCCCAACATTTTGATACCAGGTGCACATCTTCGTCGCTGCTCGAGTCTGCTGACATAACAGTCTGTGAATTTTGAACAGAAAAGACAAAAATCAGTTGAAATAGTCCAGAATATAGCACCTTGTTCCTGCATTTACTTTTATACCTGTGGCCCCAGAGACATGTGGACAATGAGTGGACTAAACATTCTGACATGGTTTGTAGTGATGCGCTTTGGTTCGCTCAGAGTTCTCTTTAATTGGGCTTCTTCTGTTAGCCATTTAGCATGAAACCAAATCATGGGGAAAAGCTACAAGTGTACCAACTCATCAACTGATTCGGACCAGAGAAAACAAACCACAGGTGTAAACATGCTCCTAAGATTTACAAACACTGTCTGAAATGGCTCAAAAACAAATGGTTGAACCAGATTTTCTAATGAACCATACGTTGGTGAATAAAAGATGGACCGATGGCTAGCTCACAGCACATCAGTGACCGTGAGCTAAAGTTCAGCCTCACACACCTGCTCACATGGCTGCAGGCTTTTCGTTTGTATTTATGATGTGTGAAGACATAAAACATTGTATAGAAGAGACAGAAAAATACATCAATAAGACACTGAAATATTAACCATTGATGAGGCCACAAGATTAGAATTTTTACAGTAGCCATTTTAGTTTTTTGAAACCAGACTGATGTGAAATGGTAAATGTTAATGGCACTAATGGAAACCAGAATTAACTAAATTAACTTTTTTTAAAATCAGGTGATTTGCCCCCTGTTGGCCATTTGATGATATGGTTCAAGGAATGATTAAGGAACTTTAGCACTGGCTTCACTTTTCAGAACCGGAAGCTACATCTATCTTTTTTATTCAGTTAAAGAGCTTCTAATATGTCAAAAATATAGTTTATAGTTTTTCAACCTTATTGTAAAGCAAAGCTGCCCAACCTTTAAAGTATTTGTGGCATTTTTTTTTTATTTGCACAAGTTGGTAGTCTGTACTTGCAGTTTTATGCCCTAATGGAATTAAAGTTAGTTAACCAACTTCCATGCTTTATTTCAAGAAGAGCGCGAACCCTAAGGTAGTCAAGTGGCAATCTGTGAGGCAGAAAAATTAAGTCGTCATGGAAATGCTAAAAACTAAAGTTACTCTTGTTGCCAGCTGAAACTGGATTTTTTTTAGATCCACTTTCCAAACACTCTGGTATTAAAAGTCCTAAATTTGTTCTCAAAAGACAGGTAGAGAAAAACTGTTTCGACTTCCATTAGTTCCCCTGTTTACTGCAACTCCAAAATAATATGAATATTTTTGTAACTCAACATCGGGTGGAGCTAGAACAGGCATCTGCTTCCACATCCATCTTTTACGTGCAGTCTATTGGCTTCCACAACTAAATAAGTTAATAATAAATTAATATTTATAACTGAACAAACATTTAAATGTCATCTACATAGCTTAATATCTGTTATTATCTGGAAGCTTTGTTGTTGAGTAAACCAAGGTCTTGGCTAGAAAAAAAAAACAAAGCAAAACAAACACAAAGAAATTAAAATCACCCCCTAAAATTCAAGATATTACCTCTCTGCTGTGATGCTGTGACAAGTATGCACTTTTTCAAAGTACACAGGTTAATAACAAAAATAAAAACAATTCAATAACATTTTTCAATACTTAAAATAAACATACTTTGTTTAGTAATGACTACTCTTCTCAGGCATCCACACTCCAGTATCACAGTGCCACTTTGCCATTGAACTATCAACATTTGCTGGAAGAAACAACACACGTTCTCTCTTGTGGCTGACTTAATACTATACTAGATGCACTTACCCCGTCCACAAATACCGGTAACAGCAGACGGTTCGTGCAACTCATTTACTGTGAAAATATAAGTAGCTTAACTTGGTATAATGAGCAAATCCAGCTGTAGGTGGGATAAAAAACAGGTCTCCATATTTCAAAGAGAAAAAGAACAATTCACTTTTACCTCGGGAAATCCTCCTGTCCTTTATGGCGTCCAAGATCGCTGTTCCGAATTCATCTACATCCGGTTTGAACCGGAAGAGATGAGCCTCCATCTCCCACAATGCATCGATGTGCTTTACCCACTGAGTGGACAAGCCAAGGCAACTCTAAATTATTCTTACTATAAATATAAATATTTTGCAGCTTGCTGCTGCAATTTTTAATCTACAGATTTATTAAAAAATAAATCTTTAATGCAAAGCGATCTCATGCTAAATTGCTAACAGAAGAAGCCCATTATTTATTTTATTTTATTTCATTAATTTTTATTTAAAGAAAATTATGAGACACCTTACTTTTTTTTTTCTGAAATCAAGCTTATACACTAAGAAACGTATTCCCCTGCATCTTCTAAATATCTCTTTTTATGCATATATGTTTATATGCATTTTATGTTAAATAAGCAGAGTGAGTGGATGCCTGAACAATGGAGAAGATTTGAAGAACCCTGGTGATGTTAGAGCTGTAGTAACTAAAGAGGGATAATGCTTATACCAGGAAGATATGGCAAATAGTATTTTAAGATGGGTTAAGAAGAGAAGTGATGGTCAGTGAGCGGAAGTAATAATTTATGCATAGAAGGAGCACTACAGATGTGATGTTTGCCTAAAGGGAGGGTGTTACAGCAAACAAGAGGAATGAAAGTTTGTAGAAGCAAGATGGAATTCATGTTCGAAAGAGCGAGAGGCAGGTGTAAGAGTGCAAAGTTGCAAAGAGTAGAGGTAGTCAAGGTAGATGAGCTTAGATATTTGGGGTCATCCATCCAAAGTAAAAGACAGTGCACAAGAGAGGTGAAGAAGAGAGTGGAATGAGACAAGTGTCAGGCGTGATTTGTGTCAGAGAGAGGGCAGCAAGAGCAACAGGGAAGTGACACCTGTCATGATGTATGGCTTTAAAAAAAGAAAGACAAATAAGATAAATGAACCAAAACAGTTAAACAATGTGAAGCAAAGGAGAAGATCATAAAGATAGATTTTCCTTATTCATTTATAATATTATCCTTCCAGATGTGTTTAGATCAGTGTCATATTAAAACAGTGGGTTTTTTTAAATTACTAGTTGAAATTGAGATTGTGCTGCAAGTCCTTGACGATAAATAGATTAACTTTATAAATTAAACAATTCAATAGATTTTTTGGCTAGGAGCTGAGCGTGCCGTTTTTCTTGTTTTTTTTTATGAAGAGAGAAAAACAAAACAAAACACAAAATACTGCGGGTTTACTTAACCCGAGATCAATCCAAATGAGTGCATAATTAAATAGTCGAAGTCAAGTTTTATTCAAATTTTTAAAAATGTGACTCTTTTTTGAAATATAGATTAAAATGTTCTTGTATAACAGCTTTATCAGATTTAATTCATTCATTCATTTAAAAATGAAGTCAAGTCAATAAAGTTTAATTTGACTTTGACTTGACTTCATTTTTAAATTAGGATGAAACTATGAAAAAAATCTGTTATACAGCTTTCATTACTGGGGAAATTTCAGATTTCAAAACAATGATTAAAACTAATTATATTATATTATATTATATTATATTATATTATATTATATTATATTATATTATATGTGTGATAAAATAGTTCCTGACAGGGGAACTAGTCATGTTTTAACTGTGTTTCAAATCGACTTCTTTTACATGACGAACAAGATGCATTTGTTTTGTACAAAAGAGATTTCCAGGCGGGTGGAACATTATCGCTTTCCTTATCCGCTCAGTTGAACCGTACACGGCAAACGCCAAGCCACGAAACAAACACTTCACCAGGAAGTCTTGGCTAGCGTTGTTTATAACCACCGTTAGGGTTGACTTATAATGATAGCTTCTAGCTAAATTTTACGTTTAAATGTTAACGATATTAAAAGCCATACCTTGAGGCGTCGGTATTAGAGGTCTGTCTTTTAGGAAACAGAATTTTAATTATAAATAATAGCTTTATCTCGGCTCTACTACCCGTCGTTTACAAGCTTTCTGTAAACATCAGCTGTTCCAGGTGAGTCGCGATATGTCCGAGTCCGGTCACAGTCAACCCGGCATGTATGGGCAAGGGCGCAGGAGGAGGCGACGCCGAGGGGACAGAGATGTTGGCCCTCCGGGGCAAAATCTGTCCGGACCCAGTCGAGATCGGGATTACCAACCGAGAGAGCGAAGGGTACTTCAAACGATATACTGCTTTGGCCTCTGATTTTATCTTCTCTACATCAAAATACTTACTCGAATCATTTTCTTTCCAGGATGGAAGCGAGGATCCACCAGGTCCTCTAATTCAGAAGACCCCCATCATTCTTGCAAAACCTCCCGGAGAAAGGGTAGGTGGGCTTGTCTTTGAGACCACAAACTATAGTCTACAGTTTAAATTTGTGAGGTATCATTTTGCTTACCCTAACCGAATAGGAAGAATAGCCAAAATCAAAGAATATTCACAATGCCAGAACAAAACGAGCCGTGCTTGTTTGTGCTTACGAAGCACTTCCATCTCCAATTCGTGCTGTTGTTTATATATTCTAAGGCTAAGCCCTCACAAAATACACCTGTCAGTGGAACACCAGTCCTTGAGAAGCCCATCATGCTAATGAAGGCCAGGGACGATGGAGTGAAGCCAGGGACACCTACTGAGTCGGCTGCACAGTCCTCTGGTCCACCCTCTAAGATAGAGAGGGAAGGGCAGCGACCTACTCAGCCTGTATACCAGATCCAAAACAGAGGAATGAGTGCTTCTGCATCGAGCAGTGCATTGGACCGTGAGTTGTTATAGACTCTACAAAAAGACATTTTATTTTCTTCTCCAAATTCAAAAGTATGTTCATGTGCAATAATTAAAGCCACAAGCTTTCATGTGACTTCCAGCCATGGTTGGGCAGTCCAAACTCCTTCCTCCGGAGAAAATGAAGCACAGCATTAAACTGGTGGATGATCAGATGAATTGGTGTGACAGTGCCATGGAGGTAAATTCATAGCATTTAATACATTTAGTTGATTTTGCAGATTTAAACAGTGCTTTCAGTTTACTTTATGATATGTGGTCAAAGGAAGCTGAGTGATTTTGTTGTGATGTGTTGCAGTATTTGAGGGACCAGACAGACATGTTGGTGGTGGGAGTTATTGGCTTGCAGGGAACTGGGAAATCCACCATCATGTCGCTGTTATCTGCCAACACTCCTGAGGAAGATCAAAGGTAAGGTTAAAGAATAAGATCAAGATGTAAAGTGTTCTGCACTACACACACTACTGAGGTTTTTGCAGACACATGACAACTAAATATACGGTGTTCAGTTTGGACCTGTGACAATCATGCTGATGGGTTAGGATGAAATGAATGGGACACCAGTTAGAGACCATTCCACACCTGTATAGCAACCACTGGGAAAAATCTGTATTTCCTGGATGGAGGTTGGCGGAAGTTGCATTGAAATGATTGCCAAAGTTTCAGTTACACCGGACTAGATACTATTTCATGACTTGCATTTAAAAATTTGGAGTCCCTAATGGTTTGGCAAAAACCTCCTTGTTGAGCAATATCCGCATGACTCACGTGAGAAATATCAGTAGTGTTTTGGTTTGGGCTAAACTCATGCACATAGGCTTAACTGGTGATTTTTAAATTGCAGAAGATTTGAAATGATGAAAGTGCTTAATTACACAAAAAGACAGGAAAAAGGTCTTTGGCTTGTCTTAAAGCACGCTGAGTGGTCACTGATAATAGAAAAGTACTCTATAATTGCCATTCACTTAAATTGATCCAACACACAAACTGTAGGGAACGGCGATGTGATGGCTGAAGCTCAAGAGATGGCGCATTTCATTTACTATTTAGAAGGTTATTGGTTTAAACCCTAGGTGCTCCAGTCTGCATGCCAAATATCCTTGGGCAACAAACTGATTCCTAAATTCCTCTCCGATGCATCCATCAGAGTGTGACGCACATAACCCAGGAGGTGCCCAGGAGGCACTTTCCCTTATTCAAGTGAAATGCCTACTTAAGTTAAGAGGGAATGAGGTAATACAACCGTAGAACTTGTCTGAATACATTTTATCCCTCCCATCAAAACGCAGAACATCTAGTTCCCAACCACTGAGCCGTGGCACATAGGTGTGTCGTGGAAGATTATGTGGTTCCACTCCTGCAGGGAAAAATTATCAATATGCTTTTTGTAACATTTTGTTTGGTGGTGTGCCATGTGATTTTTCTAATATGAAATATACTCAATATAATACTCTATATTTGTCTGATAATTACACATGCATTTCTTTTTTAAAGGATCAATGCGAGTACTTTAATAATTAATTTGAGAAAAATCACTTGAACAGTTCTTTGGAGGTGATATTGAATAAAAACGTGTGTTTGTTTGAACAGGAGTTTTGTATTCAGACCCCAGACTCAAGAAATCAAGGAAAGAGGCGGAAATCAGAGCACAGGGATTGATTTCTTCATCACACAGGAGAGAGTTATCTTCTTGGATACGCAGGTGTGAATGAAGTATTGTGATTAGAAATGACAGTTTCTACGGTTTACTGTAGTATTTTCTTTTTGCTGTCAGAATGTAAGTTGGTACAAACTGTCTGTAATGTTAACCTTGGAACTGCAAGATGTCTAACTGTGGTTAAGGATTTGTTGTGCTGAAGCAACAACATGTTTCACTGTGTTTAAATGTCATTCTTCAGCCAATGCTTAGCCCATCAATTCTGGATCATCTTATCAACAATGATCGGAAGTTACCTCCAGAATACAATCTTCCTCATACATATGTTGAGATGCAGGTATGTGGCTGGCCTGCGGAGGACAGTATATAATAATATGAATGCTGGTGCTAAACACCTGTGAACTTTAGTTTTGGGATTCATTGTTTGATGTTGGTTTAGTGATCGTATTTATTCTTTTCTACAAATAAAGCATGTTTGTACTCTCTGTATAA